AAAATTAATCACTGCTCGATACTCTACTGGTTTCATTTTCACACCTTACTGCACCTTCACTGCTGTAACATTTTCTGTTATGTTATGAGATAAGGACTGAAATCAATACATGACCTAAAGAGACCTTGATCATTTCGCACGTGAAATTTCAGCCTCTTCTTAGGATAAGTGGAAGTGGGTCAGGGGAAATCTTTAATGAGCCCCCACCTTGTAGCCATTCAAATAATACTGACAATGAATATCTGTTTCATGAAATAGGAAAGACTTGAAAGTTACACTGACATGTCAAGACTAGCTAATCTACTTATTTGTGCAAGATGACTATAATTCTTAAAACTATGATGTGGAAACATATCTGGTGTAGTCATTAAAAATGCATAAGGAATAAAGCACTCCATATTCAAAGTTATATATTTATTTAACATGAGTTACATACAGTTTCAAAGTAGTAACATTGAGTCTGGTGTCGAAATACACTGGTCCCTTCTGCTACCTGCAGGTTGAGGGGTAAAAGGTGAGAGAGAGAAAAAAAAAGGAATGCTTAAGCTTTCCTTTAGGAGCAACAAAGAAACCTGCAGTCACAAATCCAAAAACATTGTGCAGCATTTCCAAAACAAACCCATATCCTTAATGACACAACAAAAGTGTTAAGATATGGGTAAGAACGTGTTTTGTTTAAAATCCACTTTCTAAGGGAGAAATATAATCATATATTTTTTTAGATATATATATATGAAAGCACTGACACTGGGTGTGCTACATAACTTGTGCTGCTGCAGATTTTGAAATGGATTAGAACAAAAACTTTGACTTGCTTGTGTGTCCATGTGTCAGTGTGTGTGTGTGAGAGAGTGTGCATCTATGAGAATGTGCATGTATGTCTGTTCATGTTCACATGCGTGTGTGCATGTACACGTGTGTATTCCTGTGTGTGTATATGCATGTGTGTGGCATTCATTTGTGTGTATACCCATTCGTGGGTTCACGTGTGTATGCAAGGGTAAATATATGTGTCCATGCCTATGAGCATGTGTGTCAGACCTTTCAATTAATTAAAAAATAATCAGTACATCAGTAATAACAGACAACGCAGACAGTAATATTAAATAAGTAGTAGACAACTTACCAAGAGAATAACCTCCATACGACATATATATATTTGCACAAATCATACTAAGGAGTAAAATTACTATATTTCACATACAAAGAAATATAATACTGAACATACTACTAGATACACAGAAATCATACCAAAGAATTCTAAAACTGAAAGAAACAATTTGATTACAATCTTCATTACTTCCAAATCTGTAATATTGAATTTCACAAATATTCAAACTACTATTCCCAGATAGTGCAAAGAAAACCCTTTACCAGTTATTGTGAAAACTTAATACAGATAAAAATTATTTACGAACAAAATCAGCATGAACGCCCAGCAATGTCGTATCTGGATGATGAATATTGAAAATATGAGGACTAATTATGCTGTTTTTAATCATCGATCATAATGACATTCCCGAAAAGGTACACACAATAATTATTATCAATAGGAATAATTTAAATAGTAATAATATACATATTTGTCCTAAGATTATGTTTTTTTCCAAATTCTGAAGCCTAAAATTTTGCTAACATTTACAAAAAAGGAAATAATAAGAAAAGAACATTTGATAAATTTTAGACCTACTTAAAAATGTCTGAAATGAATTTATTTATTTACTAATCTCTTGGAGACTGCAATGGTGTCACACTTATAAGTTACTTTGGCATTCATATGCTAGTACATTACCTTCAAGCTACCATGCAGAAAAGCACGCACGCATGCACGCGCACACACGCACACACACACACACACACACACACACACACACACACACACACACACACACACACACACACACATACACACACACAAAAAAATAAAAATAAATAAAAAGGCAATTTCTTCAGTATAAACTCATTTCATTTAGCACATTCAAATATCCTTTAGTGTTTATGAAGTGTATCTAAACTAAACAATCCCAGAGCCTGGAATGTGTAGTATGGAACGCAGTATGTTAAGGTAAATTTCCTACTAGAGATTCTCACTACTTTGTCCACCTACTAAAAAAACTAATAACGATAACAACTAAGAGTGTTCGGTAACAAGTTTTCTAGGTTTGATAAGAATAAGCACCAGAGGAAGGAATAAATATATAACTCATCAAGTCAAACTGGGAGAAAAATTTCTACGTAATTCTATGCAATGAAAGGTGAGAGAGAGAGAGAGAGAGAGAGAGAGAGAGAGAGAGAGAGAGAGAGAGAGAGAGAGAGAGAGAGAGAGAGAGAGAGAGAGAGAGAGAGAGAGAGAGAGAAGCAAGAAATGCTATGGGGGTTGGAATTCAGCAACAATGCTTTATCCTGGCGCCCTTCCTCTGTTACTAAAGGGAGGGAAGGAGGGAGGAAAGAGGGAGAGAGAGGGGGAGGAAGAGAGGGAGAGTGGGAGGGAGAGAGGGAGACCTTACATGACAAAAAAAAGCGAATTACTTCCGAGAAAAATGCCTTAACATGGAAAAGGCAGAAAATATAAAGCTACATACAATACTAAAACACAGAGAGAAATCTCTTGCAAATCAAAATGCCCAAAAAATAAAATCTAAACTAAAAAGCAATGAACATTACTCAAAAGCAAGGTTATATAATCATTACTAAATCACCATATATAAGTTGTAAGTACTGTAATCAAAGCTAACTTGTCTCAATAAAGCCTTTTGTTACCAAGTATCTCAGACAGTTATTTGAAACTTTCCATTACAGTTATTACAAGGGAAAGATGGGATCTGTTTCCAATTAACATTAAGGGTTTCATGGCAAAATTATTCTTCATATTATTTCCTAATTAATCATGCCATTTGGCACATTATATATATATATATGTATATGTATATGTATGTATATATACATATATATATATATATATATATATATATATATATATATATATATATATATATATATATATATATATATATATATATATATATATATATAGATATATACATACATATATATATATATATATATATATATAGATATATAGATATATAGATATATATGTATATATAAATAGATAAATAGATAGATAGATAGATAGATAGACAGATAGATAGATATGAAAGAGAATAAAACAAAACAAAAACAATAAATAGGTAATTATCAATGTCATGGTGAGTTACTTAACTGCTGTCCCAAATTTTTAAAATAACTTTATCTACCCGAAAAAACAGAAGGAAAAAGACAAAGAGCAGAAGAAAAGATGAAAAGAAGAAAAGAAAAAAAAAGGGAAGAAAATGTTATAAAAAAAGTACAAGGAATAAGAAAATAAGACAAAATTGTCTAAGAGGAAAGGGAAATGGACAAGGAAACAAATAGGAAAAAGACAAGAAATGAACAAAGAGCAGGAAAATAATTTAATATCATGGTGTGAATTCACAGCACAGGAAAGGGAGCAACATTTACTGTGTCCTAAAAAATGTCAATCATCTAATAAACCTGAGAAATGGAAGAAGAAAAAAGATAAGTGAGAATGAGAAGGCGAAAGAGAATAAAATAGATCCCATAGTATTTTGTTCATTAAAAAAAGAAAAAGAAAAAAAAATGATGCAATACTACATTCAAAAAATTATTTTTCAGCCATTCTCTACCTAGTTTTACATGTAATAATATGTAAGTAGCATTAAAACCTGGTTTCTTCCCTATTACAAAAAAGAAAGAAAAAAAGAAAAAAAGAAAAAAAGAAAGAAAAAAAAATTGTCATGTACACATATGTATGCCATGTTCTTTCAGTGACCCTCATTAACCTTCAATTTTGAGAAAATTGTTAATTAGTCTATGTTAAGTATCTGTGCCTATAGCTGCACCGAGCAAAGATAACTGTCCTGCAACTTACGATGAAAATGCAATTAAGAAAGAAAGACAGAAAGAAAGAAGGAAAATAATGCTAGAAGGAAAAATGACACCAGAAAGACCAAAAACAGAAATGAAGATGGTCCTAAATTATGCACGGAATGAAGTGAAACTGAATGGAACCAAAGCATACAAGCAAGTACAGTTAATTTTTCTTGTTCATAACACGTATTTCGGAAAATCAAAACTGTCTTTGATTTTGAGAGCACTGCCTCCCTTATGACAGTCAAATCTATGGATATGAAAAAAAGAAAAAGAAAAAGCACTCATATTGCTTCAAAATTGTTACTCACTGAAAAAAAAAGACATATTTCTTTCTCACTATCTGTGCTAAGCCTTCTAGCTAAATACTGTTTGAGAAAACTTCTTTTATATCCAGAAATCCTAAATTCAGTGGATATATATGTGTGTATACATATGTATGTGGCTGTATATGTGTATAACTATGTGTGCACATATGAGTATGTGTTTTTATGTGTACCATCTGTTCTATACAGTCCATTTCTCTTGGAGAAAAATATATCCACTATAACATGGAGCTCAATTCTATAGATGTACTTACAGTCACAAAAACTGTAACACATGCTTCAAGGGAGTAATCTCTCTTTCCCAAAAATAGAACAAAAAAAAGAAAAAGAAAAAAGAAAAAAAAATGAAAGAGAAGAAAAGAGAGAAAAAAAGAAAAAAACAGAAAGAAAGAAAGAAAGAAAGAAAAAAAAGGATCAAGAGCACGTTAGAGCAGAGATGCTTTTAACAACAGATCCAATTCTACTGCATTCCACAGATAAATATATACTTCACTTCAAGAAGGATACAGATATAAATACCATAAAATGTGAGTCAAATTACCACTCAGGTTATATAATTTCATCAGCACTTTAAAAAACCTTAGCTACTGTAATGTCCCTCACAAATCTATTTTTAAATATAGCTTTTATTCTTTTTTATAATGGTATTCTATCTGATATATTATGCTTTTCTGATAATGTAAACATAACTGGTCTTTAAACCTTACAAAACCTCATAGAAAATTTGTTTAGTTTAGTTGGCAA